TAATGACTCACTGGGGAAAACCCAAATTCCATATTGGCTAGGAATATATTATGAAAAAAAAGGGAATATAAGTCGGGGAAATTGTCACCTCACAGGACAGTTTTCAAGGAAGAGTTTAACCTAAATCCTAGCAGTAGGAAGTGGTTTTTTGTGACAGACTGACAACTTTAGTTTGAGAAATCATGTGAACTTAGGGCAAGTTATTTGGATAAGAGAGATTGGAAAAGATATTTTTTACTAGACACATGACCCAAAGTACCAGAATCTTGAATCCATTGGCCAAGAGTGGAACAACCACCCGATTACCTATGCAAAATCATAAGCAATTGCGGTGGAAGATTGCATTGTAGCTTTCAGCTTAATCCATTATACGTATTAGCAGTATCAATCAGCTTGGGAGAGGAATGAGGAGAAATGACATCGATAATATTAGCCATCTTGACATGCTTATGTGTGATCATAGAGTCAATAGAGATAGAGAAAGACGGAGTATTAGTGAGAGATGCAAGAACTGGCTGATAAAATTTGATTGCACATGGAGTCAACTTTAGGGGGACCTACTAAAGCAACAACTCTAAAAATTGGCTGCTATAGTCTTTGTGGGGCCTCTGGATTATGATTCAAATTCTGAAGTGAAACCACGGTGTTTTGTGATTTNCTCTTTATCATAGTTTTGTTGTTGATTTCAGCTTCTTATCTTCATGGATGGCATATTTTTGTTACCCTTGAACCATGAATTTTGCTATTGTTAACAGAAATTCTGATATCAGTAAGATAATAATCTTATTTTGCTTAATCATCAATATTTCTTTGTTCCATCATTTAAACCCATGCCTTTGTGAACATCATTATTTAACGTACCACTTCGGTCAATATTCTCTATAGTTTGTGGCATGTTCAAGGTTTTCCCATCCCTTCTATCTGCAATGTTTCTCTTGGTCATTGGCAAGGTTGATTTTTGTTAAAAGTACTTAGTTATTTTATTAGATTTTATGAGAATATGTCTAATGTAGGCTACATACTGTTGCATTTATATTTGCATAAGTGGGGTACAATAATGAGTTCTTGTACCGATATGTTACATGTGTTGAAGTCTAATTAAACATGGGATGTTTGTATTATGTGTACTTTTAAGGTTAGAAATATATGCATCCTTGCAACCCTTGAGGAATTTGATGAAGATATGAACTTTTTACTAAATTGAGAGTCAATTGTAATTTCACTTCCAAGGTCTCATTTTTCACTAAATAACAATTGATTTCTCTATATTTAGTTCTCTAGCAAAAGATTGGATTAAAAGCAACACATAGAGCCTTTGGATATTACAAATCAAATTCATCATTGGCATGCCCAAACTTTAATAGATAAAGTTACGGGTGTTTGTGGGTTGGGTTGGTTAGCATTTGAGTAAACCCATTATCCAACCCACCAAAATACTATCAATGTTGGGTTTCTGCATTTTTTATGTTAAAGCCAATCCAATCCAACCACTCATGAGTGAATTGGATTGGGTTTGTCAATTAGGTCAAGATTTAAAAAAAAAGTAATTTTTTTAAAGTATCAACCTAATTAAAAAATAACACAATCTTTACAAAATTTAATCCAAGACTTCAAGTAAAACAATAAGTCTAATCATAGCAAGTTTTGTCCATACTAATTTAAAACATGAAAAGAAAACATAAGACAATTTGTTCATTGCACAAGTATAAGTGCGGGTTTTGGTTTTGGTATTGGGTCATCCATACTAAATGCACGATCCAACCTGTGTAAGAGTGGGTTAGTTTGGATTGTGTCAAGTTTGACTCAATCATAAGTGAAACCCAACCAAATCTAATTGGGTTGAGTTCAGTCATCAGGTAAACCTGATCCAACGAACACTCATAATTAAAGTAATTGTCAAAGTCACATTAATCTAATGTCGTGGCTTCCACAACCCTATAATTAGTCTTTGCTCTAAATCTAGCAACTACATTTTGTTTGTTGTCTCTAACAAGATGAAGTTTCCTCTGAGAAGAGCACAATAGCTTGAAGTGGATCTCTATTAAATGGAGATCATACCCAATTTGCACCACAACCTACATCCCAATGGAGCATCACATGTAGCATTCAAGAGTTGACTTACCATACTTACAATAAAGGTGATATATTATCTAGTTGTTGTAAAATAGTTTAAGCTTACGTATCAGGAAATAATATTTGCCAATGTCTTTTAGTTGTTCCTCCTACTTTGTGAGCAACTTGACATTGGATCCATGGGGTTTCACAAGGTTTGCAATCAAATCATTCTTATTTCCTAAAATGTCCAAAATATTTGTTTTGACTAAAACAAAGCCAATAGTAGTTTGGGTAACTTCAATACCCAAGTATTTGAGAGGATCTAAATCGTAGGTTTGAAATTGTTAGGTTAGATGATGATCTTTGAGACACAGATGATTGATGTGGGCATTTCCAGTGATAAAAATGTCGTCAACATAATCCACTATATAAATAAATGGGACTATTGTTAAAAAACTTGGGGTGGATTGGTTGGTTCTACTGGAAATTGGACTACTAACTAGTCTGGTAACATTACCAAGCTAGGCACAACCAACAAGGTCTCCCGTATGTTCACACTTCGGTAAGTCATGCATCCTACAAAGTTTGCATAAATTTGAATCTAAACCATACTTGAACACGTGAAATTTGAATATAAAATATTTTGAATTTTGTAAAAGTTTGGACTATAACCCAAGTCCTTGGGGTTTCTAAAAGTGGTGAGATCACCAAACATGTTGGGGCCAAAGTCACCACATGTAGATGTTTGGTATATGGAGTGTCAAATTTAGTTTATATACTAGATCTTATATATAAAACACGTATAATTACGTCAGTTTATGCAATTCAATCTTTGACCCATTGGTTCATCCAATGACCTTCGGACCCAGAATTTTGACTGGGTAAATGGTCAGTTATGATAACATTGCAAGTGATAAATGAAGAAATAATACAATGATCTGCTGCACCTAGTCATACCAAATTGAGTGCAAATTTACAACTAAGAGCTTTGAAAAATTAACAATGTTTATATCTATTCCTCATTAGAAACTAAGAAGTACAACGAGAGTAATTATTCATTAATGTGACAAAGCATTAGTAACGTATTGGAGAACTAACATGACTTAGACTCAAATATTAGAATGAACTAAGCAAAGAGAAGATAAACCTTGCTCATTGACTTTGTTGGGAGGTGCTTTAGATGTGTTTCCCAACTAATGACTCACTGGGGAAAACCCAAATTCCATATTGGCTAGGAATATATTATGAAAAAAAAGGGAATATAAGTCGGGGAAATTGTCACCTCACAGGACAGTTTTCAAGGAAGAGTTTAACCTAAATCCTAGCAGTAGGAAGTGGTTTTTTGTGACAGACTGACAACTTTAGTTTGAGAAATCATGTGAACTTAGGGCAAGTTATTTGGATAAGAGAGATTGGAAAAGATATTTTTTACTAGACACATGACCCAAAGTACCAGAATCTTGAATCCATTGGCCAAGAGTGGAACAACCACCCGATTACCTATGCAAAATCATAAGCAATTGCGGTGGAAGATTGCATTGTAGCTTTCAGCTTAATCCATTATACGTATTAGCAGTATCAATCAGCTTGGGAGAGGAATGAGGAGAAATGACATCGATAATATTAGCCATCTTGACATGCTTATGTGTGATCATAGAGTCAATAGAGATAGAGAAAGACGGAGTATTAGTGAGAGATGCAAGAACTGGCTGATAAAATTTGATTGCACATGGAGTCAACTTTAGGGGGACCTACTAAAGCAACAACTCTAAAAATTGGCTGCTATAGTCTTTGTGGGGCCTCTGGATTATGATTCAAATTCTGAAGTGAAACCACGGTGTTTTGTGATTTCCATGTTATCTTTCTTCAAATTAACAAGACTGCAATTGATAGTGTAGAGACAGTTGACATCATTAGTGTATGCTTAAAGTCTTTGTTTCAAACCTCAGCGTGTGTCTTGAAGGCATGGAACTGAATCCAAATATCAAAAGAATGTCATCTATGTTGGGATGTTCTTAAAAGTTTTGTACAGCTGATCAGATTGACTGTGCCTTGAAGCAAAGTTGGACACTAGGGAGTCCCTGGTGTCATGATTTATTTATGCAGTGAGTTTTTTATAGGAATGACACGGACATTTGTTAAACTAACAATATGATGAGGAATTGGATTTGGAGACATCTGACATGCTATGTTGGGACTGGGGAAAGCCAATTGGACTCAACAAATATGGGGAGATTGAGAGGCGTGGATGGGTAGGTGTTGCTAGAAAATAGGCTCACATGTAGATGGTAGATTTATAGAGTTTAAGAAAATGAAAGTTGTATTCAACTGTCAAAGTGTACAAGATACAAACACTTTCAATCCTATTTATATTGTCATGACTAAGTCAGTTAAAATCAATGTTTCCAAACTTGAGGGGATGTCATAGATTGAGAATAAAAAAGATCAACAGTCAACAATGTTCTTCCTAGCATGCAAAATTGCATGTGCAGAAAAAAACAAAACTAATTAGTTGGCCCAAAGAGAACAATACCTAACAACAAAACAAATGAAGAACAGAAAATAAATGGCCCAAACTGAACAACACCCAAACAAGCCATGATACAAAAACAACTTCAATGTACCAAGCAGCTGCCTAACAACACATACCAAACAATACCAAGCAAAGAACAACAACCAATTTCTGTGAGTGCAATACTCCGTTTGAAATGTATTGGGTCTGTCAGTGTTGTTTCAGTTATACAATTGTTATTTCTCTTACAGCAGTGGTTTCTCTTAGACTGTTGATTACTGTAACTGTTCTGTTGGACAGTTACAACTAACTTGTTACTGAGTTCTGCATATATTCTGCTGTTAACAGAGTCTCATTCATTTTGAATCTTTTACCCTTTTCATAATAATAAATCAGTGTATGAGTTTTCTATTAATTTCCAAACATGTGCCAGGCAAAGAACACTGCAAGCCGGGAAGATCTATGAAATCTGACTGCAACAACGTAATAGAGAATGTGTCTGTTGACAGCATGCAGTGATAGCTATGTCTTGGATACCAATGCCAAGAGCAGACTGCAAAGAGTAAGTGTCTTAATTCGTTGCAGTGGAGAGGAAGAAACCAGTGTTTTTTGGACACTTCGCTAGGCTTTTAGTATATTTTGAAAATTTGTTGATCTACTAAAAGTTGCAATCAGCCTACTATGATCCAGCATGTGAGTTAGCACATTGTCCCCCCTCCCTCTCTCAATAGAAATTTGTTGGATGGATATTGTTTATGACTGTTTTACAGTGATTGCTATAACTGACAAGGATAAATACTAATGCATTTTTGTATATTCGGATAAACTAAACAGAAAACCAAAGAATTTTATTATTGCTGAAAGCAATGAATTATACATATTTGTAGAAGAGGCTCTGAATAGACTCTTTGCGAAGTAAACACTGTATAGTGCTGACTCAATACTATAAGAGTTTGTAACTTGTAGAAAGATCACCAATTACATGCTCTACAGTAATACTGTAAGCTTTCCAGGCTTGGACTATTAACAGATACAAAGAAAGGCCATTCCGTTAGAAGCTTCTCCTTACCCAAGCTCAAGTTGGTGAGAAACTACCGGTGGAGACATATTGACCTTGGACTGCTTAAATGGGATCAGATAAGAGATTAGAACCTTGCTTAGACCTTGTAACAAAAGGTCCTTAGCGTCGTAATATAAATGCTTTAGCTTCGATCATGTTTGTCTTATATAGTAGGTCCTTAATACACATGCTTTGAGTAATAATGAGAGCCACCAAAACATAATCCAGAGCTCCAAGCTGCTTAAGAGAGAAAGCGGAATGAAGCTAAGTGATAAGATGTTGAACCAAGGTAAAAAAAGGCTGCTAGTTATAAATTTTGTCATCAATGTACACCAAAAGATAGCAGGGGAAAAGTGTTGGCTGTAAATGAATAGTGAAATGATTGCATTTGCTGTCGTTGGAAACCAAATTTAATACATGTGGTTTTTAGGCACTAAAACCAAGTTGAAGGAACTTGGTTGAGCCTGTTGAATAGAGTGAAAACTATGTATGAGATTAATCTCCTATGTGTTGAATATACACATAGGGTATTATATTTACAATAGAAGAAATATGGACTAAGTCCAAAATACAAATAAGGAACAATAATAAACTAAATAAAAGATACAAGATAAATATAAGATATCTATCTAAGATATTTAATAATATAATATATCTAACACTCTCCCTCAAGTTGGTGCATACAAATTGTATGTATCAAACTTGCTATTAATATAATCAATAAAGACTTAGTGAAAATATTCACTTCTGCACTCGAATGACATCAAATTATTAATGATTTGCGAAGACGACATAGAAGACGGAATACCAACCCAGAAGACTCCTTCTGAGCAACAAATTTTGGAGGTTGCTTCATATAAATTTCTTCTTATAAATAGCCGTTAAGGAATGCATTGTTGACATTCGGTAGATAAAGAGGTCATTGTTGAAGAACCACCACAACTTTAAATAAACTAACAAAAGCCATATTTGTCACGGGAGAAAAGCATATATGGATAGGTCAAACACACCGATGACAACAGAAGAGAGGTCAAAAGAGACAACAGCGGAAGAAGTCATAGACAATCACGATAGAGAAAAACCCTAAAAATTCAAGATTCTCCAATCAAGGAACTAAGCACAGATCTTAAAGGATGAGAAAGAGGTGACCTCAGAGCTTTGAATCAATGTCCGAAATGAGATGGGATGTGTCGCCACGCTCAATGGAAAAAGGACTAAATTGACAACTTCGAGAGGCTTGTGAGAGAGTGTAAGATCTTCGATGAATGTGTCGTTGACAACACGGTGGTTGCTTGGCCAAGACAATCAAAACCGTGTGGTCGTTGGTCGAAACTGGAACTCTGACAAAGTGATGGTGGTAGTAGCACCGGTAGAGGCAACGAAAAGTTTTTCCTAAAAGAACTTGGCACTGGATACCATGTTGAATATAGTGAAAATTATATGTGGGATTAATCTCCCTTGTGTTGAATATACACATAGGATAGTATATTTGTAATAGAAGAAATATGGACTGAGCCCAAAATGCAAATAAAGAATAATAACAAACTAACTGAAGATAAAAGGTAAAGATAAGATATCTAAGATATCTAATAATATAATAAATCTAAAAGAGCCCATAAATAGCATTATGCAATGTACTAGCCAAAGACGTGTGAGGAGCTTCCTTTATGTCTTATAAGCCTCTTCAAGAAAGCCATTAAAAACATTGATCACTTCAAATTGATGAAGCGATCACTTGGTAGTGACTATAAATAAAATAAATTGTGAACAGTAATATGCTTTATTACTGGAGAAAAGGTTTGATTAATGTCAATTCCCTGCTGTTGAGACCATTTGTTTATAGAACCATAAGCATTTTCCTTTATGTTGAAAACCCATACTCAGCTAATAGGAACTCTTTTAGCAGAAAAAGGAATCGGTGTGCTTTAATAATCTATTAGATTTACCAAGAGTTTGAGAAAATGGAAATAAAAATCCTATGTCCATATGCGATGTGACAAGTGATTATAAGATAAATTGTCTAAAATTAGTTTATATTGTATCATTATAAAAAAGCATTTGAAGTTATTTGTAATAGTTATTTTATATTTGAATTGATCAGTTGTTGGGGATAAAATAGGAAAACAACTTAGCTAGAAAATAATCTGTTAGGTTTTAATCATAATAGGCTTGAGTATTTGAAAACAAAATCCATTAGAATCTTATTTTCACTAATGTTACCAAACAAGAGAGTACAATTAAAAAAAGTTTATGGGAACAAAACCTCTAAATATAGTTCAATCCAAACATACTCCATAGTTTATTGGATTCAATGTATGATAAAATTATATCTGTTATACGTGATGCTGCTAAAATTAAGTTTATATTTTATCAATCGAAATTCATACTTATGTGTACATGTGGCACATGGGTATCTACACTCCAGCTCGGAACTTTTGCCAAATATCCAATAAAGTTTGTTGTTCATTATTAGACTGTTATCTCGTGCTACAGTAACTGAGTCTTTATTTTTCCTGTATTCAGTTTTTACATTTTACATAAACAATCAATCGTACTTTAGAATGAAATTTGTTGGACTTACGCATAAGCTGGTGAAGCTTGTATCAAAATGCATGCACACCTTATCTATGCATCTAAAATGTTTTACAAGCATAGAAATCTTAAGCATTTATTCTATACCTAGCCATTCAAATGTGAATAGTGCAGTTGCTTTAACCATTTTTATGCTCGAGTGCCATCTGTTATCGTTCTGATTTCTGAGTTTTATTGGTCAACTTCTACAATTCACCTTTCAAAAAATGAGCATCCTTGCACCATTTCTGTAGTAATGCCTAACATGTAGATACTTAAACCTTCAAGGTAGCAGCATCTTAAATTTGTATTTGAGCATATTAATATCGTGAGCTGACAAAGTAAAAGAGTCGATGGCCAACTTTGTAACAAATGGTTGAACAAGTGCATAGAAGTTGAATCTTTTATAGTTTTAATCAACCAAATAAAACAAAAAATGATAGATAGTATCCCTAGCGACAGGTTTATATTGTTGATCATTTGGTGTTACTGACTGACCTTGAAATGAAGCACGTCACATGTATTCTCCTCAGACAAAATTTAGCTATAAAATGATAGATTTCTGATTACATTTTCTGGCCTTACATGAATGAACACAGAATAAACCTTGCGTCAGTAAATTAAGATTTTCTCTTGGAATATAGTATGTGCTTTAACAGAACCTTAACAAATCGACATGGTGATAGAAGAGACTTCATTTTCCTGGCCAAACCCTGTTCCGGCCTTTTCTTGTTTGTATTCTTTCTTGCTTTGTTATGTTAATGATATGTCATATTGCTGCCTGTTTTACCGCATGACATCTCACTACTACTATGGGTTGCTTGTAACGAGCTTGAGGAACTGGGTGGATTTGTGATCAAAATCTGATTTGTTTGGATGGCGAGTTCTTGTGGCCGAAGTTGACCAATGGAAATAAGCTTGTCAGCTGGAGTGATCTTGATTGAATGGCAGCAGAATTCAAGTTTGCTATAGTGCTTGCAAATTCAAATTCGGGGTCATGCTTGCTGACCACGTAGTGTCAGCCCGGTTAGGAGAAGGGGGCTTTGGTTGATGGTCTTGAATAGAAGAAACAAGGCCACAAAAAGAGATCGAGTCCAATGAATATGCAATGCTATCATACGCAACATTGGAGGTGACCTTGTTTCCTTCCATTGATTTGTAACCTAGACGGCTATGTTGGATGAAACCTTGTATATTTATGCAGAAACTCGCCAGACTTTGGGACCTCACTTTAATTCAGTTGGAATGTGGTATGCCGGGTCGAAATTGTTATTGGTATTGGCGTTGGGGATACGCCAATACGCATATTTAATTTTAGGGGTATTTCCTGAGAAGTTAACATGTTGGATCAAGAAAGAATGATAAATCATAATTGGTGAACATAGATAACGTTACACAGGGGGCATGATCTGTACATTATCTTTTATCAACATTCTTTGATGCAATACGTTGCTAATTGAACTTAAGTTTGTGTATGAAGTTTGTCATCTTTAGTTCGAGGTTTGTAACATCTTCCAGTTGGCCCGTATAGATGGCAGGTGTTGGATACATTGAGGAGTCTGAATTGCCTATATTGGTGGATATTTCCAAGATATAGTGTGTGGCAAGTATCGGACAAGTGCTTTCTTACTGCTTCTTTGCTGTGGAATCATAGTTAATACATTTCTCTGTCGTTTTCTAATCTGGTTAGTATGTTACATTACCGACGTGCGACGGTTGGCATTGGACACTAGTCCAAGTTATTGAATTGATTTGGTCATTTTCATTTAGTAACAAGTAGAAGCACAAGTAAAACTGGGCGACCCTTGGATTAGGAAAGAATCCAAGTTTTGCAATTATGCATGTCTTCAATAATCGGATAGAAGTACACTGATGTTTTAGGAGATTGAATGGTAAAGAGGTATAATGAGGATTACTACGTCGCTAGTGTCGGAGTATCCGAGTATGGACTATTAACACAACTAACGGAGGAAAAGGTGAATTCAGATTACTATTATTGGGTTTTCACATGATAAAAATATGAATTTTCTACTTGTATTTTATAATTTGTGGACTTGAAATATCAAAGCTTAGTCAACCCTCAATTTAAAATGTTTTTATTTTTCTTCTAAATTATATTTGTAATAACTCTTAAGTACTTCCAGTATCCAAATAGATCCTTTATGTGGCCCAAAGACTAATTTATTTGCATTGCACAAACGGCTGTTGATGCCGAGGCGACTGATTATGCTATCCAAATAGTCTGTTTGTGTTATTCTAATTGGGTTCATTGTTGAAATATTTCTTTGTTGGAATAAACTAGAAGTGTGCCTTTTTCTTTCAGCATCTCCGTAAAGATTTTGGAACCTCAAACTCATTTCGAAATGGACTTTGTTGAATGTATACTTACATTTCGGAAAAGTACATTCAAGAATAAATGAGAAATGTAAGAAATGTTCAATAATGTTGTAAGAAAGACGAAGAAACATCACTGAAGGTGTTGGTGATGACGTATTGCTTTAAAAAAATAAAAATAAATGGTGGTTCGAAGAAATATTTGTTTGGCTGTAATTTTAAAGCGTGTAACGCAAGTCAACCTAATCAATTAGAGGCTTTATTTTGACGTATAAAACGTGTAAACATGGAAAATTACCACTGCCTTTTTTAATGTTTAGAGAATGGACCAAAACAAACACTTAGATTGTATTTTTGTCATATTCGCTGTTTCGTTAGCTTCACTGAGCCTATGCCTCCAAAATGAGCAAGTTAATGAATCTTCACCTTAAGGGATAGTATCTTGTGTACAGAGTAAAATATCATCTTCCAATATCTATTAATGAAATTGATGGCTTCCAGAGAGTCAGTTTACATAATGTTTTTTGGTGAAGGAAACATCTTGATCGTAATTCTTATAGCTGTGATAAAAAATTCTCTAAATTTGACTTATATTATGATGGTCTTAATGTATTTCAAACATTTGTGAAGAACCAACTAATTATTTCCAAGACAAAAAAAAAAGTGAAGAAAAATGACAATTATGTATTTTGTACTTCACAGTATATTTTTAAATTATATAGTTGAAATCATGTATTTCAAATATATGGTTCAAAATTGATTTTTAAATTTTACAATTAAAATATTTAAAAATAAATTTATGCTAGGCTTTTGACATTTTAATTATGTTGACTTATCAATTATTTATCATGAAAATTTATGAAAATAAAAAAGAAAAAAATAAAAGAATATAAAGATATTTTGAACTTCTTTTTCCATATTTATAGTATAGAGGTATATGTCTCGTGTTAGGTCATAAGTTACATATTTTATAATCGAAAATTTAATGTTCAAACTCTCCATTTGTAAATCAAAGTTTAATCTATGTTCAAATTTAAGCCTTACATTCACTGGAGTGGATTCATGGAAATAACTAAAAAATTGTGAAGAAAAACGTCAAAAGAGATTAAACATCATTAGAAAACTTAAAAACTATACTTTGCCTCTTCTTCTATTTTCAATAGTAAGCTAAGTAAATCGTATCAGCCACTCATCCCATCTTGTTTTCTGACTTAAATTTTAAAACCCAAAATAAAATAAAAAATTATAAATATCCCAAACGAAGCTTAAAATGTTACAGCATAAATTTATAGGCTAATTTTAATTAGTCACGGATTAAAGATTAGTATATTTTTTCTTTTCCTGATATAAAAACGTTTTTCTTGTTTGATTTTATTTAGGACATACACATAAAAAAATCATTCGACAACTGACTATATTAATATCTCAATACCACTTTTACATTTTTAGCTTAAAATATTAATATATTATTATATCATGAAAATGAAATTGTAAAGTGATTTTTTTTTCAAAATATGTCAGTATAAATTTATCTGTATATTTATTACCGTACCAATAATAAAGAACTTTAGTTGTGAGTCTTTTATTGTTAAAATTAATGTAATTTATAGCCATCAAGAGCATAATTTTTCAAATGTGATCATACGTTTTTAAAAAAAATGAAAATTTCAATCAAATTTTTGTAGCTTTTGTTTCAAGTGTAACACTATACCTTATTTTTTTTAATTTGATAAATATTATGCATTATTTATTTACCGTGGGAAAACAAACAAATTCTCCGAAATCTAGATGATTCCAGTGTAGTATTTATCCAGAGCCATGCCCCAACATCACATGACCACTGCATGATTAATGTTGTTCCAGTAAAAGAATACATATATATAGATAGATTATAGGAATCATGAAGGAATGGGGCCCACCACGAATTAAAGTCCTTATCCCATCACCACGTACCCCACATTATCTCAGAATAGGACAAGCCACAGTGCTAAATATATACTTCAATTTTCATCTCCCACAGTTTTACCAAGTCTTCATCCTTATCCACTTTTGTCTCACTCTTTCCACCTCATGTTTTTACTACATCCACTCCCCATCATCACATCCTAACCAAAATAACTTACACTTGGATGCACCAGAACATTCCCTCCCATTTTGGACATAGATATTTTATGTCTAGACATCATCACCCTCTATATATACACTCTCCACAACCACTTTAACATCCCCCATTACTCACTTTTCCTCCATCAACTCTTCCAACATGGTTCTGCTAGAGAAGCTCTGGGATGATGTTGTCGCCGGCCCTCAACCCGACCGTGGCCTTGGCAAGCTCAGAAAACTCACCACCCTAAAAACTGGTGCACCCTTTGTTACATCCATCATTCTGCTATAGTCAAGAACAATCCTTAACTATAATATAAAATTACATGTTTTAGATGTTCCACTTTTAACGTTTCTCAAACTCATGGATGTTGTAGATGAAGGAGAAAGTAGCAAGTTGCAGAAGAGCTTGTCCATGCCGACATCTCCGACAACCCCTTTGACTCCGTCCACACCTACGACACCGGGATCGGGGCGTAAATCTGACAACGTTTGGAGGAGCGTGTTCCATCCTGGGAGCAACTCTGCCACCAAGACCATCGGTGCTCAGATGTTTGACAAACCTCTTCCCAACACTCCCACTGTCTACGATTGGTATATATATATAAATATACATATATACTCTCTTTCTTTCTTCTTTACAATAAAGTTTGTACTCCAGATCTTGTATTCTTATACCTTGTTATTGTTTCTACGTTCTCTTTATCATATCAACCTTGCATGCATTCAAATATATATTGCATATAATTGTTATGCCAAAAGATTAGTCATGTTTTCTCTTTTTAACCTAATTTTTCCAAAAAAAATTTCTGTTAAATGAATTAGATCTAACTCTTACTTATCACTTGACAACAGTTCTTTTTTTTTTAATAAATAGTGCGGTTTATCTTTGCTAATATTTACAGTTTTGGATCATTATTATGTCTTGGGTACTGTTACGTACTTGTTTTTGCTTATGGGATGCGTTTTATTGAGTACCCACGATTGGGGTGATGTAGACCGTTAGATCTTTTGAGAAATCAACGGCTGAGCTGAAATGACATAAATCAAACGGTTATTTTTGTAAAGGTTGTGTGCTGAGATAAAGTGGTTGTATTTGATTGCAGGCTGTACAGTGGAGAGACCAGGAGCAGGCACCGCTGAGGCGTGAAGGAGGCGCGTGGGTTGCATGTAAATATTGTCGTTTTTCGTGGATCGCATGCCACGTTTGCAGCTACTATCATTATGTGTCGACAATTTATTGGTCTGTTACTAACTAAGATGTTACCGGTGTGTTTGGTTTTCGTGAGCAAGTTAATGTAAAATGCTAAATAACTAGCATGTTTTGTTTTGTTTGATCTTTAAGTTTTGTTAATTAGCCACATATGCCTTGAACTTTGGCATCTGGTTAATCTCTTTACCCCTTCTGTTAAGTATTAATATTAAATAAATTAAATTGTGTTAAAACAGTATGTTTTATAACTTTATAAGTTTGTGATATATTAATGGGTGATATTTGTTTTGGCTAAAGATAGAGATGAATATAATGTTTTCTGCTAATAACGCACCATTAATTTAAAAATGGTACGAAATTGATGGCTGTTTATTTAGTAATAATTGAAGATTTTGAGGTATGTAACAATGACAGAGATATCTTATCTGTAGTTTGAAGATCGAAAATTTAATATCGGGAAACCTTGACTTTTCTGTCTTGATATTTAACTTTTAGGAAAAAGAAAACAATAAATTAGATATCCTTTCCTTTTCATTTCAGCTTCTACACATTGATTTGTATTTTGGACAAACCTTTACCAAAGCTTATCCCTAGATTCTTTTTAAATTAAATAAAAATTAAAGAAAAAAAGTCGAAATTAATTTATTGCCCGTGTTGTTTTCTTCTTGCCTTTGTCTTACTTGTTCTTATCCAAACCAAAGGGGGGCCTACCAGTAAAGCTTATCCTAGACTTCAGATACAAACATCAAATAGAAACAGAGTTAGTGCAATTAAAATTCATTGCCAAATAATTCGAAATATCGTTTTTTAATAAAATTATTTACTATTTGGGTCACATTTTGGGTGGGAGATCTGTCAATGGCTGAAAACTGTTGATAGAAACTCGCAATTCAGTGAAACTATTTATTGTTTGGGCTGATATTATAGCATAGTTTTCTAACT